GGATTGCGAGTCGAGTGCCTTAACCACCTGGCCATGCCAGGCTTTTGAAAATAACAAACTAAAGGTGACCAGCTCTTAAATGCTGAAAGATAATTTAAGAATTTTTTAGTATAGAACTTGAGGAAATTCAGAGATAACAGACATATTTTTAAATATCTCTGGTTTCCACTTTCACCTAACTAATGCAAAGGAGTTCGATATACTGCCACTAGAATGGTGCTGGTTTCATAAAATGGCTTTTCCTGTGAGCTGTCAGCCTCCTGGTCAGGAGAGACACCTGCGAGGGGGATAACAAAATATGATGGGCCTGCACTCCATATCTTGCGGGCACACAAACTGTATTTTTTAATGAAGTGAATCACCTTTAGCAATAAGCATTTTTGTCGGGTACTGGGTCTACACGAGAGGCTAAGGCACATTTTAGGATAGTTTCACCCCCACTCTTACAACTACCCCTATTTCTCGTTTAGCTTTACCCCTGCATGGCCAGGGGTATTGAAATCTGGTTTCTAGCGTTATAAGTTCGCAGACGTATCGCTGTGCCACTGGGGGTCGTTGATCCTCGAGACGATGAGTGCCCATCTCATCGTCCTTAGTGAAGGAACCATCCGTGAGCAACACTTATAATGGTAAAACAATTTTTCTCTGGCTTTGCTTTTATTCGAATGTCTCATTAGAGACTCCTTAATGATAAAAGGCAAGAACAGCCAAGTAAGGAAAATATATGTTCGTCATTTTAACAGGTTATTATACTCCACCACTTCTATAGGCCGTTTTCTTCTCACTACAAACCTGAAGAAGGTCACTTGCCAAAAACGTTGTTTAAAAATTCATCAACAAAACATTTTAATTTGATGAGAGTTTCGCCTTGTTTGTTTTCTTCTACACTGTGCACCTGTTTATTCATTAATATTTGACTAATAGGGGTTTATTTTTTTCTACGATTTATTTGTTTGTTTTGGAGCAAAGCCATATTGGGCTATTTGCTTTGTCCATCGCGAGGAATTGAACTTTTACCGTTGTAAGTTCATAAACAGGAAATTTGTTCATTTTTGTTTGCAATTCGTAAAATTTCATATCGATATCAACATCACTCTGTCAGTCTTCGTATGTGCTGAACAGTCAATCTAAGAAAAGAAACTTAAAAATGTTTTTTTTTGTGTGTGTGAGGGAATTTTATGAAAAACTGTACTTCCTCCGTCAACTAATGAAAGAAATATTTCGAAGACAGACGCATGAACAGGAATAACGCATAAAGAGAAGAACGTGTTAGAGTATATATTAGATATATATATATATATATATGTTCATGTCGGTATTATATACATACATGACTTTATTGTACCATGTTGAATAAATTGAATTAAATATCTCCCTTTTGACACTTCTTATAGAAATGACAACAGTCCAAAAGTGCTCACTTCGATAGTAGTTTTTTCTTGCGCGCAGTAAAATGACAAGAAATGGTGGCACCCAGCGGAAAAAAATCCCCGCGGCTACTTAGCAAACACACACATTTTGCCAACAGTGATTGCAGTCAGTCGCCTTTGGTTAAAACAAACGCAGTGCAAATTTCTTTATCGAAATAACACATGAAATGACCAAGTACAGTTGTAAACAACCCAACAGACAATCATATTGCATATACGCTATGATCCAAGGCATTGAATTGACTGCACATTTTTCACTTATTCATCATTATTTTCAGGAAATTTACTGTTATAGCTTCCTCATCTCCGAGTGTACAGAGCATTCCAACTCATTAACCATTGTGCCTCATCAGCACATTCTAATATCTAATAATGTAAATTACTATAGAACAAGCAGATGATGACCCGTGTTTAATTTTAGTTTTCATACATTCCATTGTTGATACAGTGGATTGATTGTTTTATACATTACTCTGAATAAGAAAACCCTAAAATTTGATTTTTCTAAACACTTTCGTCGTTTAAGTTATAAATTGATAATTTCATACTGTTTACTTCATTTACGTGATTTATTTTGTTTCTGTTCAGTTTTCCTTAGTAATCATTAATGATTGGTCAGTTTTCCTTAGTAAGCATTAATGATTGATCAGTTTTGTTCCGTTTTCCACTTTAAGTTCATTTTACTGTTAAAACCCTAAAAGTTGTCAATGTTCAGCCAACAAAATGGTGTAAAAGAGGAAAACTAAAATATGCAGTGAGAAATCACGTCTGTACTCCTTAATTACGACAGCATCTCATTCTAAAACCCTTTTTTTATAATAGAAAAATTAAAAATTCAGACAACAAAGTGTCGGTTAAAATTAAAAGGCAAATCATCTGACAGGGCAGTTGACGACTGACATTTTGAATTCAAGGCTTCATGCAATACCCCATCACCACTTTGAATACTCTAACAGTTAGATTTATGTTAAATTTATTCAAGATGGATCAGGGATCGAAATATTACATTCTCGAGGAATTTAACTTTTCTTGAGGAATTTCATTTTTTAGTTGGCTTTCCCGATTGGGAATACATAGTCCATCCCTATTCCTTTAGTTATGACCAGTGAAAGTGAACCTATTGCATGGATTAAATAAAACAAACAAACAATTCATAAGGAAATGCTGCTTTACACAAGGGAACGTTATCTTCCTGATAGGCTTCCCTTGAGTGAATGTAATTTTATTTCATTATTTCTATCCCTGTTGGTAATCATTACAAAAATGAATATTGTTACAAAAGTAAAAAATATATAATGAAAAAAAAAAGGTGCTGCTAATTTAGCTAAATTTCTGAAAATTATACCTTGAAGAAAATTTAAGAGGCAACAGAAATAATGTTAAGTAGTTACTGTCACATTTAGGTTGAGATGGTGTAACAAAACTTGGAAACATATTTTGTTCAAAAAAAACCTGTCTAGAACACAAATTTTATGAAATATGTATATATTAATGGAAATATTTTGGGGTACTTGTATGAAAACTACTAAAAAGGCAATTAAACTTCACAGTCTTATATCACATTGTATGGATAACAGTTCATATGGAAAGTCTTCTTCTTCTTAACACCATCCTATTTTATCATTGCTGCAGTAAGTCACAAAGAAACATTTTTTGCACTAATACTCCTTTTTTTTGTAATAAAAAACATGCTATACAAAATCTGATAAGCTAATTAAATAAAAATGGATCTGTGGGTAGTACTGCTTCACACGTGGAAGAATTACAGTAACATGGCTTTCTGTTGATTATCAAGTCTCGTGATTCACGAATGCACTGTTGACCCTCTAGATTACTACTACTATAATTGTAACAGAGCTCTTCCATAGGATATATATCCCGAGAAGAAAACAAGCACAGTTGAGGAAGTACACAGTGTGTTCTAACTGGGACCATCAAAAGATTTGGACTGCATGAATGATTGATGAAACGACCTACGTTACCTGTATATGTTGGATCAATCACTGTATGTAAAATTTCTCCCTTTTTCACATGTTCTTTTAATACAAAGATATAGTTACAGTCCATGGACATGATGGTAGGGATGCGTTTCTTTGCTTCCTCAAGTGATATGACTTCCCCAGCATACTCGCACACAAAGTGGGATTTAGGAACAAAGTGAAGTGTTCTTACACCAAATCCCTTTTCTCTAGTTTTAAATACCTGTAAACCATACTGCAGACCTTTCTGAACAACCCGATTGGTACAGTTTAATGGACAGGTACATAACAAATTACATTCCACAACCGGTTTTTTGTGACATGTAAGCAGTAGAGTTCCTTCAGCAGAATAGTTCTCACCAAACCGTGTTATACAAGGACATGTACTATCACATTTTGTGCTCTTACATGCACATCCTTCATAAGTTGTGGTAAAATCTTCATCAGCTGCTCCTTCTCCTGCTACATTTTGTGCTGTATACTGTATGGATAAAAACAACAACAAAATCTAAGGTACATCATTTATGTAATGTACATTCAGTAACCTTGTGGTTACATAATTTCCAATAAAACACATTTCCACAGTAAAAGAGATCCTCTCTGAACTGTAAGCATCATACAAATAAATTTCAGCAATCTTGATTTTTTTATACCCGAGTGTATAAAAAGTGTAATGAATGTAAACTCTTATTCTAATTATGATATGGTTTTTACTTAAGAAAGAACAATTAATGATTACTTTTAGTAATAACATGATTTTATAATGAAAGTGCATTTCATAAATATAATGAGCTTAATAAATAAAATTCACATGTGAATGCACACTTATTCCAAGATTACAATATATCTTGATAATTATAAATATAAATAAAAAAGGAGTTGCCACCAGTTGCTTTCTTTCCTATTCAGCAGTTAAAACATTCAAGGTGGTGACACATAACCTTAGTAGATTTATCATGACAAAGACAGGGCAAGCAAGTTTGGTTGAAGTATTTCAACTACTTGGACAGCTGGAATAATTGAAAACAGTAACAATAGGAAACCTCAATTATTTGATTATTTTCCTGATAATCAATTTCATAGTGATCATTATTAATCAATTGGTTTACATGACACTCAAGATGTAATCATTTCTCATAGGTGACAGATTATGTCAATAAACCAACTGAATTGCCCTGCTCTGAACTCCAGTACTGCTTTTTACTTCAGTTACATTTGACTTATATAACAAGCTTCTGACTACACTGCAAAGAAAACAGCAAGTTGAGTAAATATCATTTTATTAAGCAGTTACTTAAAAGTTTAGCCCCTCAATTTAATCTGAACTTCTGAGTTTAATTAAGTTGTATTAATAAAAAGCATAGTAGAGCAGTAAGAAAATAAATTATATTTTAACTTTTGGGGCAGGTTACATTTCACATGAATAATATTAAAGCATTATGCCATGGCATAATGTATCACAGCTTTTTTTCCCTTCAAATCTTTTTTAAACTACACACACACACACACACATATATATATATTACATATATCATCACTGTGACATCACAACCATGTAGCCCCCATTTTTTCATGACCCGTGTTTTATGTAGAAATGATTTCTAAAATAATTCACTCCATATGCTGTCAAAATCAGTAGGGATCTTCCATTTAGCAATGGTATATTTGTTACATTATTAAATATAGTTAATGTAATCTAAATTTTGTAGTTTCAAAACCATGCACCTTTGAATCTGTAAAACTGGGCTTTTGGACATACACAGTTTTTACAGGACAACAATGATAATGATATATGTTCAAACCTGTATAAAGCTGGTATGAACAAAATATAGCTTTTCTTGCCACTGAATCTACCTGTCACCAGAGTGAGTTTTCATCAAGTTACTATGTGTATTTGGCAATTCCCGTAGCCCATCTGATACTGACAGCTTGTTATACCCTACTGCAGTTTCCCAACCTTTTCTAAGCAGCATCGTATGAATACTTGGCCCAACGCACAACTGTTATTACCACTTGAACTAAAAAGTTATTAGAGCGTAGCATGACGTAATGTCTCACGCCTGGATACCAAAAGAAAACAAAGACTCAAATACACTTTGATTTTATCCGCAAAATAATAATAATAATATTAATAAGCTATAACTAGTCTATAGGATAAGTTAACTTATAATGCGTATCTGGCCTATAAAAAACAGAAAAAAAAAAAGATATAGAATGTCTTCTTCTACTTTCGCTTCTTACTTCAAATTCAGAACTTGATATATATTAAAAAAGCATTAATAATAATAATTACAATTTACACTTACTGCCGTACACAGATAAATGACTAGATAATTTAAATAAGAACTTGCGATATAAAAAGCTAAAATTAAAAATAAAAGACCTACCGTAAATATGGGCAATTGTTCATCGTCAAGTTCATTTACAAAAGAAACAGGGTTATTTTCTTTACCATTAGAAATATCACGTACAGATAATGGCCACCTTTTCTCTTCCGACATATCTCAATAAATAAATGTGTAAACTCTTAATTAAGCTTCTATTATTTACAAGATTCATTCCCGGAAAATGGATAACCTTAGGCCTAACAAAAATGATCACGGAAACAGTTTTGATTGTGTGACATTCTAAACTGTTCAGTTAATCGCTATTTCAGCTAGCTACCTTATTTTTGAAATTTAGCCTGAAATGTTTAAGGTTATAGTATTAATTATTTAAAAACACTTCTTACGTATTATTGAAAACATTAAATTTCCAAATCAAAGGTTCTTATATAGCTCATAATTCACTAGTAACGACGCTACCTATAGACCCAAATATAAACTAACAATATTTTGATATTTCAAGCTTAAATATTGTTACGTCTCCGTTTGTTAATTAACTTTCCGTAACTTCGTTCCGACGAAATTTTAACGACACAAGTCTTTACTTAATAAAACTGGTTTATTCTTTCCGAATATAACTTTACCGATACACTTAACTTCAACAATCGCGCTAAACAAACGCTGTAACGTCTCTCGTGCTCTCTGACTGCAGTTCAATTACTCACTGTCTCTACACACATTACCTTTC